ATACACTTCATCCATGGCTAGAAATGCAGTGTATCACTAGCCATTCATACACTTCATCCATGGCTAGAAATGCAGTGTATCACTAGCCATTCATACACTTCATCCATGGCTAGAAATGCAGTGTATCACTAGCCATTCATACACTTCATCCATGGCTAGAAATGCAGTGTATCACTAGCCATTCATACACTTCATCCATGGCTAGAAATGCAGTGTATCACTAGCCATTCATACACTTCATCCATGGCTAGAAATGCAGTGTATCACTAGCCATTCATACACTTCATCTAAGGCTAGAAATGCAGTGTATCACTAGCCATTCATACACTTCATCCATGGCTAGAAATGCAGTGTATCACTAGCCATTCATACACTTCATCCATGGCTAGAAATGCAGTGCATCACTAGCCATTCATACACTTCATCCATGGCTAGAAATGCAGTGTATCACTAGCCATTCATACACTTCATCCATGGCTAGAAATGCAGTGTATCACTAGCCATTCATACACTTCATCCATGGCTAGAAATGCAGTGTATTTGACAGAGGTAGGATCCATGTCATTTGTCTTCATGATCAATTGTAACTTTTGCTAGCATGTTCTTGATTGTTTTGTTTGGTCTTTCAATTACTCCATTTGATTGTGGATGGTAAATTGTGATGTACACTTGTGTAATGTCCAGCATTTTCATAATAGCTTGTGTCATCTGTCCTTTGAATTGGCTGCCATTGTCTGAAAGTATGGTTTGTGGAAAACCATATCTGCTGAAAACATTGAGTAGTGAAGTGCATATATTTTCTGCATCTATTTTTTTCAGTGGAACAGCTTCAGCCCATCTGGTGGCTATGTCCACTATGGTAAGAGCATAAATATGTTTTTTCTTTGACATTCTCTTGAATGGTCCTATTAGGTCTATGGCAATTTTCTCAAACAGGAAGTTTGCCTTGTCAGACGACTGTATTGGCGCTGTGTGTTTTCCATCTCTGGGATTGTGTCTTAAACACACTGTACACTTCTTGATGTATTCTTTTATCTGTTTACTCATTTTAGGCCAATAAAAGTTTTCTGCTATTGTAGCAAGTGTTTTCTTGGCGCCCATATGCCCACCTAAAGGACTATCATGTGTCATTTTTATAATAGATTCCTGTAATTTCTCAGGCTTAACTATTCTTTTAAATTTTCTTGCTTGTGCAATGTTTATCAAGATGCCCTTATCTAGTTTACACTGTTTATTGTGGCCTGTTTCATTGTCTTTGCTGAGTTTCATTTTTATTTCATTTATTGTTTTGTCTTCTTCTTGAAGTTTCTTGAATTCTTGTTTTGACATAAGTTGGCTTCCTATGGCAATGTTGTCTTCAACTTCAATGTCTAATTTTTCTTTTCTTTTCATGGAGGCTCTGGTTTGCACACTAGCACATAGTTGATGGTTGTTGTCGCACCATGCTTTGAACATTTCATCTGAATTGCCAACAACACCTTCAATGTTTCCTATTATGAGGTCACAAATGGCATCTTTTAAAACTCTGGCACGAACTTGAAACCAGGGTGAGTTGATGTTAAGAGTAGCAGTTTTACAATCTCTCTTTGTGCCATCAGCCATTATTAATGTGTCTTTTTGACCATCATATTCATCTTCTTGTACCATTCTGCTGTGTACAACAATTGTTGTGCATCCAGAATCTCATAGACACATGCATTTCCTGTTATTAATATATACTGGGTAATATTTAAGTTTCCCATGACTATCAATTGTGGCCACAGTATCACTTGATCTTGGTGATTCTTGTTTCGTTTTTTCTGTATTTTCACATCTTGGTAGTCATTCCTCCTCCATGGCTGATCATAATCTCTGAATCTGAAGTTATGGTTGTACCTGCCTCTCCAAGATTGTCTACCTTTGTTTTCAAAATGACCTTGTCTTGATCTTTCTTCTGGTTTCTTTCTTATAGGGCTTGCATTGGGTGACACTCTGTTTGGTTGTCCTTTATTGTGGTAACACTGTTTCGCCATGTGTCCTGGCTTGTTACAGTACCAGCAAATAGTATTTCTGTTGCCTGAGTTTGGAAGACTCTGGTTTCTCATTCCTTGCCTTCTTTCTGGCCTTTTATTTTGCATTGCAGCAAAGATGTCTTGTCTTCTATCCATTTCTACATCTGGATGAGAGTCTTTGAATGTTCGTAATGCATTTGTTAATGCTGCTTGAGTACGAATCTTCTTATCAGTTAAGTATGTGAAAAGAGTTGGTGTTGCATCCTCCAGGAATTTGTCAATTAACACCATGTCTAGTATGGCCTTTGGATTGCTTGTGTCAATTGCTGTAAGTTCTAGCCATTTTGTCAATTTAACTTGAGCTTCGTGTACTATGATCTGTGGATCTTTATCCTTCTTGATTCTCATTTCATGGAATTCTTTTCTGTAATCATTTTCTGACTTCCCGAAATGACATAGAAGTGCTTTTTTGACATTTTGATATTTGATTTTGTCTTCTTTAGCTATACTGTTGTAAGCTTCAAAAGCATCTCCTGTTAGTTGAGTCATTAATTGTGTTGACCAATCTCTTTCTCCTCATAACCTTTCATAGCCATTATGGATTCAAAGTAATCTAGATAGACATCCATTTTTTTCTTTTTTGGCATCGTATTTTCTTACTTTGTATCCCTTGGTGTTGACTTTTCATTTGAGTCATGACCAGGATTGAAACCTTTGCTCTGCAACTCAATTTGTAGTTTTAAATTGTCATTTTTTAAGTTGTTCAAGTTCCCATCTTGCAATTCTTTCTTCTCTTTCAATTATTAGCTTTTGCTTCTGTTTTTCTTCAGCTTCAGCTTCTTTTTGCTTTTGTTTTTCTTCTTCTTCAGCTTCTTTTTGCTTTTGTTTTTCTTCAGCTTCTTTTTGCTTTTGTTTTTCTTCTTCTTCAGCTTCTTTTTGCTTTTGTTTTTCTTCTTCTTCAGCTTCTTTTTGCTTTTGTTTCTCTTCTTCTTCAGCTTCTTTTTGCTTTTGTTTTTCTTCAGCTTCTTTTTGCTTTTGTTTTTCTTCTTCTTCAGCTTCTTTGACTTTCTCTTCAATGAAAGCTCTCATTTCTTTCCCAGTTAATCCTATTTTTTCTGCTATGGCAGTGAATTCTTTATATAAATCCATTTGTTTATTTGAGTTATGTGAGTTAACAACTTAGTGATCAATGTAAGTGCAATGTATCAATACACTATGTTAATACAAAATCATATAAAATGCATATATTATGTCAATTAATTAATTCATGAATATGCAACCAATAAAAATTCTAAATTCTACATTAAAAAAATATATATGTTTAAAAAAATTGTAAATTAATAGTATGTTAATTCAAAAGAAGTGATACATTTAAGTGAAACCATTAAATTAAATGTTGACAAAATGAGGCAACAAAGCATCCACACACAGGATCTTAAGTATACTAAAACATATACACTCCCTCAGGTTGACAAAATGAGGCAACAAAGCATCCACACACAGGATCTTAAGTATACTAAAACATATACGCTCCCTCAGGTTGACAAAATGAGGCAACAAAGCATCCACACACAGGATCTTAAGTACAGTATACTAAACATATACGCTCCCTCAGGTTGACAAAATATATCCGATGGTTCGAAATTTTGAGTCAGATAATCCGCCAAGTAAAGTTTTCTGATTATTGAAATAGTTTTAGACACTCTAGTTTAGTCCATTGATCCGAATTGTTTCACATTTCTCACACACTGAAATGAATATATCCAAATGCAGTTCTTCTGTTTGTAATTCACTAATATTAATTGTTAATTGTCACAAACAGTTCCTTGATATATTATTCACTGATTTAAATGATTGTCCATCGTGAAAGTACATAGTCCATAGCTTCTATAAATTTCCAATTGTGTCGTGTTTACTTCTAGTTCTTGGAAAGACTAAGACTAGTGTGTAGTTGGTACTGGTAACTCTCTGATATAACTGTGTGACCCAGATTCATACAATGTGTAGTATGCTTGTTTACAGCGTACACCATGCTGTGTGACGTAGGTTTATACTATGCGCTATCTGCTTATGTAGGTCAGTCCTTGAACAGGACTCTCGACACTGTCGTTGAGCAACAAATGTCCAACTGTAGACCTCTAATATACATTAACTTCATCAGTTTATGCACTGCTGCATTCGGCCTTTAATATTCACAAGTTCTGACGATACTGTTTCTTCATATAATGAACACTTTCCTTTTAATTTCACTTGCACTTTAACCACAAAAGATGAGCACTGAGCACTATGCTGTCCTGTGTCTCAAAAAGAAAGACTTGATAACTGAATTATCCTTTTCTTCAGAATAATGTATGTGCTTACATTATTCAATAACGACTCTAGATAAACAAACTACAGAGACTTTGAACTTTTAATTTTGCTGTAATGCAAATCTTCTTTTAGTAGGCACTTTGTTCTCAAAATTCTGCTGCACTAACCATGTGTTACCGACTATACCGCCATCTTGACTTCTTGACCTCTTCACAAAAATGTAACGTGTTCGTTATAGCCGAGCTCTCACTTGTAGGCGTTAATTTAAAACCATCTCTTCCTCACATTCATAACATGGAACTCCTCGGTAAACACAACTGATTTTAATACAGCAGCTAAACATATCTACACTTTTTACAGGAAAAATATATCGATGAAAATTCATTACAGCCATCTTCCCTTGCTCGTACCTACACACACATTCATTTTTTTCTATCACATGATCCTCTCTTTTGCCAATCATTCTTCTCACGTGACAAATACCACTCACTATAGTACAGACTCATAACACCATTTTCCAACATGGCCACATAACATCAGCTATTTCTATCTCTTCTTATTCCCTCCCTTCGTTCTGCATAAGATCAAAATAGCCCCATTAAGATATACTGTTACATTAGCCATTATGTTAGAGTTACACAGAAACAGTCATAACGGCCAATCACAGCCATTAAGACAGTCATTGGTTAGCCATATCTGTCACTGACCTGTATGTGCACGTCTGTGCTTAGTGTATTCACAAGGTAACCTGAAGGACTTCCCACAACCTGACTCCTTACACTTGTACGGCCTTTCTCCTGTATGAAGCCTGTTGTGACATTTCAGCTCATACTTATTTTTGAAAGCTTTGGTGCACTTTGGGTACAGACAAGGAAATGGATAATCCCCTTCATGGAACTGGAGATGACGCTGGAAATGTTGAATATAATTAGGCTTGTTTGCAGATGCTGTTTCCACATGTGGTTCACCATTAGTAGGCATAGCTACATGCACTGAACTATTACAAAGAAAATAGTATCTATGATCATTTCTTATAATATTTAGCAGTGGAGAAAGTTATTTGAGACATTCAGGCTTTTTTTGTAAAGGAATTGCTTACAGTATTTTGTGTTTTGCAGATTTTTCACACAAATGTTTGTGTCTACAAATGTTTGTGTCTACAAATGTTTAATAACCAAAAACAATTTTAAAAAGGTCTATTCAGCGTGATGCAAAAAAATGCTAAAGATTATGGAAAATTGTAATGCAATTTATAGAACAACTTTAATAAACTTTAACTGGCTGCAAGGACCCTTCATTATACTAAGGTTTTTTTATTCCAAAACTATAAACAATAAGTTGTTATTTAATAACGATAAAATGCAATTACATTTTAAATTATTTAAATTTTTCAACAGCAAACCCCCACACAAAAAAAGTTTGTAAAAAAGCTGAATTCAGAATAACTTTTTTACTCTACCTTCATACTGCTGATATATTTAAAAGATTTGTAACAGGTTGGCTTTAGACACTGGTACGGCTTGCCAACTGAAAAAAAAGATAAAGTGAATATAAGATAAGATAAGATTCTTTTATTGATCCAAATAAATGGAAATGTTTTTTGATTGCATTATACATCTTCAGCACATAAATAAAACAATTTGAAGACAAGGCATTTATAATAAATTATCTCAGACAGCTATTCAGTGAGTTCTCTTAGCCAAATCCGGGCACTTAGTTCTCAGAGTGAGCACGCCGGTAAATTCGTACAGATTGGGGAACAAAAGAATTTTTGTATCTTTCAGTCCTCGCCTTAACGGAAAGAATTCGTCCCGAATGGCCTGATCCTAAGTATTTGTGATGAAGAGGGTGGGATGTATCATCCAAAATGTGTTTAGTTTTACAAAAACATCTTTCTTCAAATACTTCTTCCAGTGAGGATTTCTAGTTTGTATTATGTCCCTAGCTTTCTTGATTAGTCGGTTTATGCAGTGTTTAAATTCAGACGTTGAATTCCCACACCAGCAGGTAATACTGAAATTAAGTAGGCTTCAAATTGTTGCACTGTAGTATAAGTTAACGACTTGCCCGTTTACCCCGAACTTGTACAGTTTTTTGAGATAGAACAGTCTTTAGTTGAATTTCTCAAACAGCATTTGGTCGTGCTCATGCCATGTTAGCTTATTATTAATGGTGACACCTAAATACTTGTATGTCTCCACTTTCTCTACACTTTGATTATTTATGTTGAGATCTGTAATATGGCGTTTCCCCCTCCTGAAATCAACAACCATTTCCTTTGTTTTTGAGACATTCAGCTGGAGAAAATTTTCATCGCACCAATTGATAAAGCTTGTAACTAAATTGCGGTATAGGCCTTCATCAGATATTAAGCCAACAAAGGTGGTATCATCTGCAAATTTTAAGATTAGAACGGTGTCGCTTGAGCTTTGAATATCATTGGTATATAGTGTATACAGAGTACAGGAGAGAGAACGCAGCCTTGTGGTGCCCCGGTGCTTATTTCTCTGGTTAGAGATAATTGGTTATTTACTTTGACATATTGTGGTCAATTTGTAAAAAAGTTCAGTATCCAAGCCTGAATATTTAAATTGACACCTAATGAGGAAAGTTTCTTCATCACAAGGTGTGGTTGGATAGTGTTAAATGCTGATGAAAAGTCTAAGAAAAGCACTCTAGCATATGTTTTAGGACTGTCAAGTTGATAATAGTCTCTCCAACAATAGTAAGATTGTATCCTCTGTGCTTCTGGCAGGTTTGTAAGCAAATTGGTGGGGGTCAAGTTTTTGCTGTACTTCATTCAAAATTTCTTTCAGAATTATTTTCTCAAAACAGGTTGTAAGTCATTGTTGCAGGTTACCTTATTTTTCTTTGGAATTGGTATGATTTCTGAAGTTTTCCAAATTGCTGGTATTGTGTGAGTTACATAAGATTTATTAAATATGTAACAAAAAATGTAAGAGAGCTGCTCTGAGCAGAGTTTAATGAGCCGACCACTTAATTTGTCTGGTCCCGAGGCCTCGGCTGCATCCACTTGTTTAAATAATGACATCACTTCCTGTTCGGTGAACAATAAGTACCATCCTGTTTACTACTGCTATCTTTAAATGAATTCATTATCTCATTGTGTTCTTTTCAAAAGTCCAGGCTGTCAAAACGACAATAAAAGTCATTTAAGTCGTTAACAAAATTCCTCACGTCCTCAACACATAAGCATTCTCGCTTAGGAGTATATCCTGTTATTTGCTTTAGTCCTGCCCAACAAGCCTTTGAGTTGTTACTAAGGAATAATTTTTCGATTTTTTGTTTGTATTGTTTTTTACCCTGATGAATTTTTTCTTTCAATATTTTTTTTTAGCTCTAATGAATTCCTGATCGTTAATCTTAAACATGTTCTTCTTGTGGTGTATGGCCTCCTTTATTTCTCTGCTCATCCAGGGTTTGTTGTTGTTGAATACTCGGATGGTTTTTTGGGGAATAATTTCGTCTACGCAGATCTTAATGTAGGAATTGACTGTGTTTGTTAGCTCGTCAATGTCTGGGTAAGTTTTATAAATGTGTCCCAGTCTGTACATTCCAAGCAGGCTTGAAGATTTTCTGTTGCCTCATCTGACCACAGTTCAATAGTTTTTGTCTGAATTTTTGTTGTTTTTAAAACTGGCTTATAGCGTGGCGTTAGGCGGACCATTGTATGGTCAGATTCTCCTAGAGCAGCGGTTCTCAACCTGTGGGTCGCGACCCCTTTGCGGGGTCGCACAACCCTTTCCAGGGGTCGCCTAAGACCAACTGAAAGCACATATGCTCTACAGTTATGAAGTAGAAACGAAAATAATTTGTGGCTGGGGGTCACCACATTATTAGGAGCTCTATTAAGGGTCACGGCATTAGGAAGGTTGAGAACACTGTCCTAGAGGAAATAAAGCACGACATGTGTATGCCTTTTTTATATTACCATAACACATGTCAAGAGTTCGGTCTTGTCACATGGGGCAAGTAAGGTACTGTGTGTATGTAGGCATGGATTTATTCAGTGATAGTTGATTAAAGTCCCCCATAACAAGAAGAACAGAGTCTGGGTTTTTTGTTTCAAAATAACGGATTACATCCAACAGTCTCTCCGTAGCCTGCTCCTTGTTAGCATTAGGTGGAATGTAAGCGAGGATGATACAGATTTGGGTGAACTCCCTAGGTAGGTAAAATGGCCTTAAAGTGATGCAGAGTAGTTCTATGTCGGGTGTACAAACTTCATGTTTCACTGTACTGTTGTTGATGCTACAGTAGTTTTTGTTAATATATATTGCCAATCCTCCTCCCTTGGATTTGCCATTGTCGGTTGTTCTATCGGCATGGAAAAGGTTAAATTCATCCAATGCCACTGCTGAATCAGGTACTGTTTCATTAAGCCATGTTTCTGTCTGGCATATTAAAGAGCTTTCGCGAAATTGATAGAAATGCTTACAGAAACAATCCAGTTCATCCATCTTGTTACATAGTAACCTAACATTTCCCAAAACAACTGGTGGAAGAAAGCCCTGCTGTCCTCTGTTTCTGCATTTTACACGAATGCATCCCCTTCTACCCCGCTTTCTTCGCCTCGATTGTGAATCTGTTGCCATTTTTTTGTTGGCATGGTTGTCTACCCAAGTGATTAACATTCCATAGCATGGAGTGAAAATAAAAAATATGACTTGAATGGGAAAAAAAAGACATTATAAAATAGTGAATTCAGTCTGTTCACATAAAAGAGTGCAATACTATTGGTGTTGGAGCTTACCCGTGTGTGTTCCCCGATGGTGTCTTAACTCTTGAGAACCCCTAAATGATTTTCCACATTCTTCACAAATAAAAGGGCGTTCACCAGTGTGCTTTCTAATGTGTTGCTTCCATTTACTCTGGGTGGGAAAGTATTTATTACAGTCTTTAAAAGGACACTTGTGAGGCTTACCATCTGAGAAATGAAAAGAGAGAAATATCACACATGGTTTACTAAGCAACCGATTGTCGAATTTTACAAAAGTTTACTGTCACTAAGAGTTTTTATTAATAATATTGTTATTTTTTATTTTCACTCCATGCTATGGAATGTTAATCACTTCGGTAGACAGAGACAGTAATATGCGGCAGGCAATATGCATTCTTAAATATCTCAAGGCAATTTAAACCATTAAAATATTTTGATAATCTCAATGGGTATAAAAAAAACTGGAAATAAGCAAATTCAGGGGAAACGCACCACAGGTGACTTGATTGCATCTGTGCTTATTTTTTTAGCTTTTGAATTAGTTTTTGAAGTTTTTAATGTCTTCTTTGGAATCAAATAGTGGTAAATGGGTAAAATGTGGTTTGGATATATAAGCTTGTGTTTTCCTGTAACAATTGCAGTTAAATAAAATTTTTGGATGTCATAGGCTTCCACCAAATTTACATATGCCATCTTGGAATCAGAGGATCTGCCATTTTCTTCGCCATCTTGATGGCGGGATCAAAGATACAAAAAAAAAAATAAGTCGCTACAGACAGGATTATCTATGATCTTGGGGAAAAAAAAACAGGAACTCTGAACAAAAAGCCCAGGCTCTGTTCCAAATGCAAACATACACTCAAGAATCAAACAGCTAATCTGAACACACATTGATTCACCAAATGGTTTGAACAACAAAACCTCATATCTTAAAAATAGATATTTACAGTAGTGGTAATGCCTGATATGATTTTCCCAAAAAAATTTAGAGGTGAAGATCCAGTCACATCCAGATTGACCGCAGATATATACATTATCATCCTTAACATCTGCTAATTTGATTGGCTGAAAACAAAAACAAATTGACAAATAATGTGAATATCTAAATTTTAATATGTCAAATTTAGAACTTTTTCAATAAGAAAATAACCACTGGTAATTATGAATACAATATAAGATATAAATTTTTAAAGGAATTTAGCAATTATTGTCAGCACATATTTAAACAATCATTTCAAAGATTAAATTTGTATTAAAGTAACATATTATAACTTACAAGTGGTGATTTTACCATGAGTAGAGGATTCGCCAGGATTATAGAGAGTTCTGTTGATTTTGGTGACTGTAGTATTGAAACTGTAGTATTGTCCTCACTTAAAATTTTCTTTGACTCACTGTCGGGTAAATCACCAATCATTTTATTATCAATGTTGGTCTTTGATCCTGTTTCTGGGATCACTGAAATTCTTTTGTTGGAGTTAACTAGGGGTGATTGCATCTGGCCTAAAAAATGTAAATCCTGAAGATCAGTCTCTTTGTCATTTGAACAATTTTGTCTTTTTTCTGAGATACATCTGACATGGTTGGATAGATTGTTGAGATTTATAATACCTGTTTGAAAATTCTCTGGACTTTTGTGACACTCTAGAGTCTGTGGTGAGATACATTGTTCTTGGCATAAAATATGTGGTTTAGCCAATTTAAATTCTATTGGTCTTATGAGGATTTTCGGAATTTTATAGTTAATTTTTACTATATGGAGAGATGCAATTTTTTCAGCTCTCCTTTCTGCAACTGGAGGCAATTTCTTCTTGCGAGAGCATACTGGAAATTTAAATAGTTTGAAAGAATTAGCATTCACTTTAATAATTATTCATTTACAATAAATTTCATAACAATGATGCATCAGGCCAGTTATTTATTATTACTGCAGCTTATTAATGCTTATATAATAAAATATCCATTAGATTATATAATAATGACTTTATACACTGTTGCTTATAAGCTATAGGTTTCTTGTCTTTACTTACCATGTAAATCTTTTTCCTGTTCTGAATCTGAGTATTCCAAGTCCTTGTTGCTGCTTTTTTCCTTTTGAAAAGTACAACGATTGACAGAGACTGCAACACACTTTTGAATTTTTCTGATGTTATCAAATGTCTTATTAACCACACGGTAACAATGTTTACAAATGTAACTCCTGCCCTGTTTTGTCTTATACTTATCTTGAAGAGATGACAGCCTCTCTTTACCAATAAAGGCAACTAGTTTAGCTTCAAACTTGGCCATAAATGGTCTGTTTCCCCCAAACATGAAGAGCCTTTCATCTCCTTTTCTAGGTGCTTTGCACATAAGACATAATATTTGAGGGCTGGCCTTAGTAATATCATCATTAGCCTCAGTTTGCATTTCTTGACATTTGTTTTAAAATCAAAGTTTATATCTCTCTGAAAAGTACAAAGAATGGTGACAAATTTACAATATTGAAATAACTAATTATACTGGTACTCATTCCAAAGCCGACTTTTAAAAAATATTTATTTCAGGCGAAAAAGGTGGTGTTGCTATGCTTATGAGCAGGTCGTAGGAGATTTTTATAATTTTTTTCTAGATAGGCCAACACTGATTCAATTACAGAAAACAATTAACAAAAAGTAATTAATTCAAAATTGGGTCATAAGTTTCTCCTTACTTTTGTGACTGTTGTGATTAATTGTGCTTAGAGAGTATTAAAGTATCTATTTTGAATAATGACTTTTCAGACTGATATATTTTATATGAACATAGCAGCATTTGAAATCTATTTTAGAACAGTCAGTTGAGTCAGTGCAACTCTCATTTTGATATGGTTTATTTTACTTTCAATTAGTTACCACATTGTGATTTGCACTTATGCAAACTTGTTAATGATATTCAAAGCACAATACAGATATGGAAGATAAGGTGACCACATATTTCTTTTCAAGCAATGTTCAAAAATGGTTAGACTAGAGCTGTCACGTGACTTTTTGTAGGCCATCTGCCAGTTTGCTGTTTTGTGCCCCATGGCATTCAAAGTTGTTAGTTTAAATTTTAGGGCACTTAAAAATCTGAGGCCCCTGTAGCAGCAGAAATTGCAGGGCCCATGCATGGGTGTCTGGGTTAAACATGCTTGGGTTGGCTTATTTTTGTATGAGCAGGTTACACACTTTTCATGCTTTTCCTGATCAATGGCGGGCCAGTTTATGAATAAAAGGCATTTGGCATGACGAATTCCCCACGCCACAATGACAATAAAAAATGCAGTCATGTCAGTCATTGCTATTCATAATGATATTTTAATTATTTTATTGTTATACAGATAGCCTGTAGGGCCTACTATAATAGTAGCCATGGCAATTCAATGGTTATAATTTATAATAGCTTAATCATTTCATTTTTATTGGGCCTACAAATAATACAAAATACAATGATTGATTGCATTTTTTAGGATTGTGCTGGTACTTATTACTTTTATGCATAGGCCTAATTCAAAAGTGCATGGACAAAATCCCCACAATGAATAATGAATAGTCAGGTGATGATTGAATGGACATAAAAAATGCATTCATTGTAAATTGTGTGCATTGCAGTTTATCATGAAATTGATTGTATTGTTAATAACAGTTAAGGCAGTCTCATCATATCTGCATCTCTTTTAGTCTTACCTTAGCATTAATCCAAAATAATACTATTAATGTTGATCAATGATTGCATTTTTTAATTACTTATTTGACTGACTTACTATACTGTAACTAGGCCCTTGCCCTTAGCCTTAACTATACACTATATTTTTTATTAGGTAGCTGGATATGAGGCTATTTTGACGCTTAGGCTTAGGGTTTTTGAGACGCTTTTTTTGGGCGTGCTGGATGATAGGGTTCACTAAAAAAATATTTTTTCGCGCTACAAACGTCGGATCAACGAACGAATTACTGTTCTAGTTACGTTAATGAACGAGCTTTAACACATCCATTTTGTTTTCAGTAATATCAGTATCAGTTTATGTCGTAAATATAAAAAAAATGTGAGAAAGCAGCCAAGTCAAATTTATCAATATTTTGAAAACTATTCCTTGTCCCATTTTAAATCGACCTGGTGTACCTGTAAAATTGTATAAAAAATGACCATGTAAAATTTCAAGTCTCTAAGACCACAAAAACATTGTTATTTTGCCATAACAGGTGTCTAAAGCTGGGGGAAAAAAATAAAATGGCGGAAAACGAAAGTAAACAAAACCGGAAACAGCATTATTTGTCACTAGGTGACAGATAAGAAAGCAAAGACATTTTATAATTCTTAAATCAATCAAGTTCCATCTTGATTAATATTAGGTTTTATTATAATATCTATACAATAATATACATATTAACTAATATTTTATCAGATATTGGTCCCTTTCATATTAAATCATAATTTTTATTGTAAAATTGCCTCTATTTTACAACAATTTCCTGTTGTAAAATAAATTACGTTTGGTCATAATTTTTTAAAATTATTTTTTAATTTTTTTTTTGTGTGGAATTTTTTAATGACATTAAAAAATCTTTAAAATATTCTATTTAATTTTTTTTTAATTTTTAAAGAAACAAAGATGTTGATAATATGATGATAAAGACTTCTGGAAAGTTTCATATTATTTGTTCACTCTGTTATAAAGTTATGAGCCTTTTCGTAATTTTTTTTTAAAAAGTGGTCACAAATCTCTATGTAAAAAAAGTGATTTTTTATTCACAAAAAAATAACTTTTTAACCAAAAGGGCTACATGAAAAATGAAAACATATTATTACTTCATTTAACAAGGGCTATCTTGCAGATGTGTTCATTTCTTAATTCATTCAATTTGAAAATTGTGTTCGTATTCATAAATGATGCACTGCACTAAGAAATTATGTCTAATTTATACAGGACAACATACATAACGTTGACGTTACCAAATTTCCTTACGGCGAAATCACTGCTGCCGCTCACATTTTTTAAATCCCTAGATTTAGTCAAAGACATTCCCAAAGGATAAAAATAGGCCGGCACTACGAACACCGCGGCGGTGTACCTGGCGATATCATTGTCCTTGGCCTGCGTACACCGCAACGGTACACACATCAAAATCATGGTCTTTGCCAGACTTTAACTCTTTGACCTGACCGGTACTTGTAAAATTAATGTTATACTCTTGTAAAAACCAATATTTAACAACAAAAATCATTTAATACCTTCAAGATTAAATAAAAGTAATAGTAATACCATACCTATATTTTTATTGTGCCCACTGTAACAATACCAAAAAAAAATATCAACTCAAGTCTGCGGTCTGTAACTACTTACCTTTTTCCAATATTCTAATTAAATGAACTCGATTCTTCTGCATTAAAACCCACACCACATGATCATTCACTCAAGTTCTCCCAGCAATATTCACACATTTAAGTTTAAACATTCATGAAAACAACTCACTATGTCCACTCCTACAACATGGAAACAACACCGGCGGACAATCAGGTCACATTCACACTACAAAAATAATCATCAGTCACTCAAATTGTCCTTCTGGAACACGCTGGGGAGCGACTTCCTTCACTCATTTTTTTCCTACGAAAGATAAATATTTTTTTTAAATATTTTTTTTAAAATTTTATTTCGGGGTTTGGGAGGGAGATATTGGGTTCGTTTACATACATTTGTGGCTAGGTACTAGAGGACTAGAGCTTTATTTGGTTCCATAAACAATTCCAACGAAAATATAAAGATAATAAGGCGTAAAGAAAAAGTCTAATATGAAGAAAAAGGCTGAATAAAAAGGGCAATATCTGAAAAGAAACACATAGCACAGGTTAACGATGTCCTGACTAGCACTGCATGAAACAGCTAACAAATAAACAGGTTAGCTAACTCTGTAATTACATGTGGTGACAAATATAGCCTACTTAACTAAGAATAGAGTAGTACATGTTATGCAAATGGCAATTAAAATTATATCACTGTAACAATGTTTTATCATAAAAGTAATCACGTGGCAGTGCTAAAATTGTAGCACTTAGGCCCTACACCGTCTATCACACAGAACCAGTGAGAGATGTGAGGGCTAACATAAAGGTCTAGAAATTACTATGGTACTGTCGTCCATGTATGTCAGGGGTGTCAAACTCGCGGCCCGCGGCCATTTGCGACCCGCAAGACAATAATTTGCGTCCCGCTAGATGACACCAAAGTTTAGTGTTGATGCGCCCGCGCGCTCTCCCCATTCTTGTATATATAATGCAACCCTCCGCGACGATTTCAGTCGAATCTCACCGACTAGTCTAATTCTGATTTGTATTATGTTTGTATAGAGTTGGACGTTGATTATAATGGTAAAACCCGTTTAAAAATCGGACTAAAAGTTTTTATTTTATAGCATTTTATGAAGCAAACATGGCCAAAGTGGGGTTTTGAAAAAAGTTTAAAAATTCAGTTAGTGGGTAATTGTGTAAATCGTAGCAATCTGACACAGTATCAAAAAGTCCCTATTAAAATTGACGCTAGTGTTTACGAGTGAGGGAAAATTCCGAGCCTGTCAGATTGGTCACTTTCAAATAGGGTTAGTCAATAAGACATTTTCTACGATTAAAAAAAATCAAAATTCATTCTCCCTACAATAGCATCTTCCTTCGCAACAATAATTCATAAATATTGCCCACTCCTGCTGACTGTTTGAACACGTTTTAGCCTTCAAAGCCTTCATGTAGAAGGATGGGGTGGTTGTTCCTGTACTAAGTGATCGCTCATGGACTTGGCTTTTCTTGTTGACATTACACAGGAGCTGAATGTACTCACCAAGAAGCCACAAGACCAGGGGTAGCTTTTCAGTGTTGCCTATGACAATGTCAGGGCATTCTGCACAAAATTTGTGTTATGGTTCTTGGAGATACCTCTGCCGTTTCCCAACATGCAAAGTACTCGTGAATTTGGGCACACCATTCGGTAGTAAGTATACTGATGCCATTGCAAAGCTACGGGAAGAATTTGATCATATTTTTTTTAGACTCTTTCTCCTTGAATGTGGAAGATGCCCCCCCCCCCCAATTCTTTGTGCTTCAAATGGAGCTGATTGATCTTTAGTGCAATTCTAAATTCAGGGAAGTGAATGAAAAAAGCAGACAAGCTTGGACAATTATTTAAGATGCATTGCCGTCTACCTTCCCTGAGATTTCCAGATTATTCAAGCGGATTATGTGCCTTTTTGGGGAGTTCCTATCTGTGTGAAAAGATCTTTCCACTAAGTTCAGGGCCAAACTTACTGATGAGCATCTTCAAGCTATACTGAGGGTCTCAGTTTCTTCCTCACTCAAACAAAATGTTGCTCAGCTGCGTAAGAAGATGCGCTTCCAGGTCTCTGGCAACAAGGAGTAGGAGGAAGAAAGTGAAGCCTAGTTCTTGAGAACCCTAAATGTTTTTA